CACCTTGCACTTGTCTATGTTGAAACCCATCCTATTCTCATCCGCCCACCCTTGTAACCTGTCTAGGTCCGATTGTAGCCTGCTTCTTCCTTCTAGTGTGCCCACGTCCCCCCACATCTTAGTGTCATCGGCAAATTTGAACAGGGTGCTTTGCACCGCCTCGCCCAAGTCACTGATGAAGATGTTGAGCAGTGCAGGCCCGAGAACTGAGCCCTGGGGGACCCCACTGCCCACGTCCCTCCAGGTTGAAAATGACCCGTCCACCACCGCTCGCTGGGTGCAGCCCTCCAGCCAGTTGGCGACACATCTGACTGTGTGGGTGTCAACCCCACAGCCCCCCGATTTTTAATGAGAACGGGGTGAGAGACCATGTTGAAGGCCTTCCAAAAGCCCAGGAAGACAAAGTCCACTGGTACCCCTGCATGTAAGGATTTGGTGACCTGGTCATAGAAGGCCATCAGGTTGGTCTGACAGGACCTGCCTCGAATGAACCCGTGTTGGTTGCCCCTAAGCATAATCTCCCCCCCAGCCCCTCGTAGACAAGGGCCAGAATAATTTTCTCAAAAAGCTTGCCCAGGATCGAGGTAAGACTGACTGGCCTACAGTTCCCCGGCTCCTCATCCCTCCCCTTTTTGAAGATGGGAACCATATTGGCCCTCTTCCAGTCCTCTGGCACCACACCAGAGCACCACGAGTGCTCGTAAAGCCATGCCAGGGGTCCCTCAATGACTGCAGCCAATTCCCTCAGCACTCCTATGAGAATGTTGTGGGAGATTTGTATCAAAATCCTTGCTAAAGTCAAAGGATGTCACATCCACTGCTGTCCTTACATCCACTGATAATTTTGCCGTAGTCAAGAAATGAGTGAAAACTAAGAGATGGTCTTGAACACAACAGGGGGTGCCTTGAGTCTGAAGAGATTGAGGACCACTGCCTTTGATCTTTTTATGCCTTTTGTGTTACATTGGAGACCTCCCCTCCATCTAATATCTCTTTTATATGTAGATTTTCAGGGCCCCTGAAAGAAGGCTTCAAGTGAAAAATAATCCTGGTTAAAAGGGAGATGGAAGTGCAAAGAGAGAAATTATTAGCGATGATGCAGAAAAAGGCAGTCAGAAGCAGTCAATAAAGTTCGTGTTCTGTATTTGGAAGAGGCAGGATACTGTATTACACACTAGTAAGGAATTCTATGTCAGCTGGTAAAGTTAAGGATTTTTAAATAAACAGGACTGAAGAATTGGCTCCAAGAGTTTTAAAAGAATTGCCTGAGGAGTCTCCTGAGCCTCTAACACTGATTTTTCTGACCATATTTAGGAAAATGGAGGGAGGTTCTAAAAAAAAAAAAGGGCGACAAGAGAATATGGTGCCAGTGTTTAGAAAAAGAGTGTAGGGTATGACGTGGCATACTCTGGGATGGCTAGCCTGGTGTCATTCCTGGGCAGCACATGATTAGGCTGATACAAGACACAGGCAATAAAAATTAAATAAGGCAACAAGGCAGGGCAGTCACGGTGTTGTGGAGAAATGTTCTTGTCAAACAAGTTTAACAGCATGGTTCAGTGAAGTTACAAAGTTTGGTTGTTAAAGGTAATTGGTGTAATAAACTTTTGACCTGCATAACATTCTGATTTAAGAAAAAAAAAAAACTTTAGAAAATTGATACGGCCCATCGTAAATGATTAAATGGTAGCCATGTGCTAGGTCTTGGGAAGTCATTGTAGGTGCGCATTGTCATCTATTGGTGATGTCCCACAGAGAGCTGTTCTTAGTCCAGTGGTTCTTAAATAACTATCCATGGTCTGGAAAAAAATACGAGTTGGTGCTTGTAAAATTGACCAAAAAGAATTGGTTGAGTGGTAAGTTGTTGTGATGTGTGAATGAGACGGGCCCGCTGGGCTGTTCTGTAGAGTGGGTGCATTCGGCCAGTGTGTGTTTTCAACATGGCTAAATGCAAAGTCATGCATTAGTGAGAGAGAATGTAGGTCCCATGTTGGACATAGGAGACTGTCCCGGAGGCAGGACTCGTTAGGGGCTGGTGCCTCACTGCCTAGAGGTAGCTGCTGCTTGGGCGCAGAGGGAAGAGGGTGAACACATAGGCGTGTATGCAGCGAGTGGAGGGAGGGTGTGTGGTGTCAGTGCACTACAGTGTTGGCAAGACCAGTCCTGTCTCTACACCCTGCTCTGTTTCCGCATTTTAAAAGGGCGTTGATGAAGCAGAGCAGGTCAGAGAAGAGCCAAGGGCATGACTCAGGATCTGGACCGACCTGCCTTAGGGCAGGAAGCTAAAGCAGCTACACTTAGCTTACTGAGGAGGCAGAGCATGGGGCTGATTGCTGTCTCAGCACCCACAGCTGTGAGCAGCCTGCTGTGGATCCCCAGCCATAGGCTGAGTAAGCTCCACAGGCGGACGCTGACATGGACACGTTGCTGTAGGAGTAAGGGGCAGCGCTCACACTGGGGCTGTTAGCTGGCAGAATAAGGGACCACCAGACACGGCTCTCCAGCGTTGGCAGTCCTATGGCAAGCACAGAGGTCTCTCTGTGGGACCCTTTGCTCGGACAAAAGCAGCAGGCTTGCAAACGTGAGGTGCGGTCCCCCAGTCAAGACCATGCAGGATCACGGCAGCCACTCCTAACCTGAGCCCCAGCTGCGTGTGCAGTGCCATGGATGCCCCGAATCTGCGGCCTGGCCCAGGCTCACGCGGCAGCAGAGAATCCATCCGTTAAAGTTCTGCTCCTTGCGGGCAGCGGCAAGGGGAACAGTAAGGATGTGTCCAGGCATAGCGGATGCAGCCAGATCTTCCTCGAGCACTGCTGCAAAAGGCCCCAGCACCCATGGGAGGGGTCTCTGGCTGGGGCTTTCCTTCTCTGCCCCCCCCCCCCAGTAGGTGCTGGGCCAGGAGCAGGGAGGATGACAAGGGCACCTCCTCAGCTGCCCTTCAGAGCCACAGGCAGAGCCCTGTGGCCTGGCCTCTTT